ATAGGCACACATAAAGTAATAAAAATGAAACCTTGCCTGGTCGCAGTACTATAAATTTTAAAGTAAAAAAAAAAATACTAATCATACAACTCATTGCAAGAGCTTTTTATGGTTTTGTTTGTTGTCAGTGTTATTGTTGTTTTTAGTGTGGCAACAACTCATCTCACTCTTTCTCATGCATATCAACGCGGCACGTATCATAAGGCAGAAGACTAAAGTGAAAGGCATTCCTTTTGCCGTTATACATAATATAACTGGTTGCTGGTGGCTGCAAGTGAAGTGACTCTCGGTCTCCACATTACCAAAAGTTTGTTTTATTTTTTTTTTTATTTTTTTATTTTAACTTCTATATATATATATATACAAATTGCAATTACTTGGATACGTACATTTCCACAAAAATATATATGAGATGATGATTTTTTTCATAAAATTTTCTTCCCGTTAATCTTAAAAGTCGGTAAAATTATCTCAGTTATTAATTTCTGTTCATTTTTAGTCTTTAGTTCATTAGTTACACTTTTTTATTTCCTTCAAAGTTTTGTTAATTACAAAAATTATTTCACATTTTAAATTACATAACATAAAAACCCCCAAAAAAAACTAATATTCAAAGTTATATGTATTATATAAGCCAACAAGTTTTAAATGCCAGAGGTTAGTCCAATGACTTAATGGCGGTAAAGTTTTTAAAAACAAATCAATTCAATGTTAGCCACATATGTTCATCTTTAACAATTCCCACGATCTCTAAGAAATTCTTCATTGATTCATAGAAAAGAATTTCTGTTATCTCATAATAAAAAAAAATTAAAAAATTCCAGTAAATATTTCTTGTTAGAGTTACTTTTCATTTCAAGCGGAAAATGAAGTGATAAACACTAACAAAACTCTTAATAAAGAGCTTCTTGTACTCTATGAAGTAAACAGACTAACACCCCTTAACTAATAACAATGTAGCGTAACTACCGTTGAGTTTGTGTGCATATGTGTCCACTACTGACCACTGCAATTACATACTGTTAACATATGTATAGTCAAATAGTTATTGTTTTTGTTATTATTGGTGTTTGCGGTTAAACATGAACGCTGCCTGTGAAGTGTATGCGCAAAGAAATATAAATTAAATGCAAATAAATTTTATAGGTAAACATGCCAGATACGAGCAGACTGAGGAACGCCGCGTGCTATTACTCTATAATTATTCATGTTTCTGTTTAGACTCTTACGTGCCTTTACACACACATCTATAATATATAAATAAATAATTGAGTAAAAGATAATTACGATAAACCATTTCCTATGTTTATCGTAGAGGGAAAAAAAATAAAAATTTTCCAACAAACTTTGAAAATTTTTTATTACAATACACCAGAAAGGAGAACAAAAACTCTTTTATTTATTTTAATTAACTTATTTACTTATTTTAATTAAAAACTGACAAATTTATAATTGCCACAAGGAAAATGCTAGATACCGATTACATTAAGTAAGCATTAAGCAAAGTGCCAAGTTGATATATGCTGGGGCAAGAGGTGCACTGAATGTTTCTGTCTTCTGATCCGGCATTAATTTTTCAAGAAAAAATGTTTGCTTTTAGCCTTTAATTTCAACTTTTGATGAAATCTTTCAAGCTACACTCCTTTTCAACTTCATTTGCGACTTCAAATTTGTGATATATGAACCGAGTGCTGCGAGCAACAGACTAGTGCACCAAAGAAGGATCAGAAGAATGAACAAAAGGCAAGAAGTGCAAAGAACATCAGACAAAGGAATTGACGATTGACGGACCGAAGGCCCTATAGAGCGACAGTATGAGAAGTTAGAGAGAGTTACAACAAAGAAAATAAAGGAACATCCGGGCGTAGAGTGCTGCAGCAAAAGAGGGAAGACAAATATTACATAGACACTAGGGAACCTGGAAGCATGTATGTATACGTTAGAACAAAGGAGAGTGTCATGCAAAAATTAAGAAAGGAGAAAGAAGAAGAAGGAAAAACAGTAAAGTATAGAGAGACATATAGAGAGGCAGAAAAAAAGAGAGTTCCGTATAAAATGATGGATGGACGGACGAAGAAGAAAAAAAAGAGTAAAGGATAGAGAGACACATAGAGATATTGCAGAAGAAAGCAGAATTTCATACCAAGTGATGAAAATATGAAAAGAGAACAGTGTGCAGAGAAATTTGAAATAACAAATCGAATGGCGAAAACTATGAGTAAAGGAGAGAAGAAAATTGCGTAGGATGAACAGAAGGAAACACAAAAAAAAAATGGGGAGAACTAAAAGGAAAAGAAAGGAAAGGAATTTAAGCATTATAATATACGGTTTAGCTAGAGATGCCAGTAGAAGAACGTAGGATGGGATGAATAGTAAAAGTGAACGAAAAACGGGAAACCTAAGAAGAAAGTAGATAATGACAAACTAATAAATAAGATAGTGAGCGAATAAAATTTCGAGCAGAAGAAGGTACGCAATTATGTGCAAAGTAAAGAACAAACAAAGAAAAGAAGAGCCAAAGAGAATTGCGACCAAACAAGACAAGGCTTACGATAATTGCGGAAAGCACAAATAAAAAAATGAAGAAAAGAAGGAATAAAATTCCAAATAGAATATAGAACACAGAAGGCAGTGAGACATAATACTACGATCGAAAGGAGGGAGTTAATAGCATAAAATGGTGAACAGAAACATTGAAATAGGAAAAAACAAGAAGCACGAAAAAGAAGCAAGAATAGAAAGGAAAATGATTACAGTGATGTACGTACTGGAGAATACATTAACAGAATAACAGAAAAAAATAGAGACAAAAGCGATATGTAGACTTTAGATATGGATTATTATTGACCTATGATTTCTAAATGCTACAAGGAATATGCTAAACTTAATATACTTGCATCGATAAGTATGAAAATGATTGAAATTAGAAATTTTTTCTTTTACAGAGAAATTTCACGATTTCCTGAAATAAAATTTCAAAAAAAAAGAAAAAGACTTTTAAAATAAACCTCAAAACTTTCTATAATTTTGATATCAAACAATGCTCCGTCTTTGGTTGGCATGTGTGTGACCAGAATATTTAAAAAAAAAAGAAAAAAAAAAGCGCTATTAAAATGCATAAATATTCATTGCATTTCACTTCGCACCTTACAATTTCAGTCAATTGAATAATTACGATAAAGAAAGAAAAAATTTACTCACAAAAACCTACAAATTAATTTCGAACTTTTTTTTTCTGTCAAGATCGATGTGTAAAATAACCCAATTTTTTTTTTTTTTTTTTTATATACATATCTGCACATCATGCATGAGGAAAAGTTTAAAATGAATTATAATTAAAAAAAAAAAACAAAATTTCTGGGTCAACGTATTATTAAGATTACTTTAATATATTTTATTTGAAACAATTTAAAAATATTGATACTTTTAAACATTTAAAAATTTAATGCATTTATTTGTTTTTTATAAATGTATTTAAAAGCTTAAAATCACTTTTGTTAGTTGAAGCATTTTAATGATAATCATGATGTTTCGATTTTCATCTGCTTTATTATTCATCTTCACTTGTTCCACTTATTATCTACAGACAATGGCAACATAATAGCAAAAGTTGAAGGTTAATTGAAAGGAAAAAACATATTTTTTTTTTTTTCCATTTTTTGATTTTTTCTTAATTTTTTATTTTGTTTTTATACCACGCGTATGTTCGATTTTTGAAAAATTATTTTTCAAATGATTGTATATATATAAATATATATATATATATATATATATAAATCTAGTAACATCATATGTACATACATATCATAAGTTAGATGTATACATATGTAGCCATGAAGAAAAACTTTATTGAAAAAACAAGAAAAAAAACTATAGTAAGCCACAGCTTACTTTTAAATACCTTATACCGTACACCCTACAATTTGTGGATGTATGAAGCAAGAATATTCGCTAGCTGAATCTTATAACAGATCACCCAATAAGTATGAAGGCTGACGCTCCTCTTGATTGAAATCAATTTCGTACTTCAGTTCACAAGTTACGATTGTTCTAGAAATCGAGGAACTTTTGTAATTTTCAAAGAACTGGAAAATCATGAAATTCGTTTGTAGTGGCTAATGACAAATCTACATGATTTTTAAATATTGTCAACCTTCAAGCGAATTGTGTCAAAATTTCATGACATTGCGGCCATTAGTTTACAAGTTATAGTTGATTTGGTGACTATCCAAAAACTCGCATTGACTAAGGTCAAGTAAAAGCCAGTATAACGGGTAACGGCTCACTATTAATTACCCTACACCACTTCGCCTAATACAGTTATTCATATAACGGCTTTTCAAAGTAAGGCTTTATATGGAAAATAGTCGAAAAAGTGGTTCAATCGGAACTATTTTCAAAACTGTTCGTCCTTAGGCCAACACAGGTCACTTTACGTAACCTCATCAAAATATCTCAAAAGTTTCCGTCTGTAGGTTGGACACCAGAAGACAAGGTGGACGGACGGACAGACAAGTTTAAATTGATTCGGAAAACACTTCTAATTTGGTCGTTATAATAAAAAATAGATCTATCTCAAGTCCTTCTCAGTATTGTATACATCCACACAATACACTTAATACAGCTTTATATAATAAATGTTGTAGGGTGTAACGTGTGAAATTCCAAAGATTCCATTGACAACTTGAAAACATGTCTACAATATCTATGTACGCGAGTATGTGTGAGTTCATGAAAGCAAACAAACACTCTTCGCATCATGGTCCATCCAGATTATCATTACGGTTTGATTTTTGAACTTTTTTATCTAAGAGAATTAATTACATGCACATTTCTATTTAATGATAAAACATTTTTCAAGTCAATCCATAGCGAAGCATAATAATAAACTCTACTATCCTTTATGCAATAGCCCTTATAAGCTCAGTAAATTTACTTAACCTAAACACCTTTAAGGTTCAGCTTTTCCCTTTAGTTTATTGTTGTATCCTCTTACTTACCAGCATATAAATAATCCTCATGCTGTTGAGTTTCTCTGCTTACACTCGAAACTATTTATGAAATTAATGGTCGCTTTCGGTAGCGAAAACAATGTACTAAAAACACATAAAACGCATACAAAAACACATTAAAATGAAATTTAATTAAGGGACATTAAAGTTTAATTAGGTTTCCTTTTCCAATTTTGTTATTCGATTTTTATTCAATTTTTATTTCACCCAATATATGTATATTTTTTTTTATTTTTTTTATTTTTTTCATTTTTATTTTATTTTAAACGCAACAAATTTACGCAACGAGAAAAAAAAACCGCTAATTATCCATAATTATGAAATATTTTCAATTATAATATTGTAATTTAAGATAGTTATTTTTCATCTTAATTATCAAATATTTATTTAATGAGTAATTTTTGTCTTTTGTTATATTTAACCTCAATGCACGGTCGAAACGCTTGTAATATTTGAAAGTACGCTTTAAGGATCAAAGCGATTAAAAAGAAACGCTTTGTTAATTCACTTTTTTTTTTTTTTAGTGTAATCAAACACTCGGAGAATGTGCCTGATTCATGCACAAGGTAGCAAAGAAAGACCAAGAGATAGAAACATAGCCATAGTCTAGTAATTGTAGACTTAATCGGCCAATGTTCTTTGTCCCTTTACCGACTCAGCATTCGTTGTAGCTATGACCAAAGTGGCCGCAAGATCTCACTTAATAATCGCTATTCTTACCCACTCGGCTGGTCTACAAACTTGACCATCCGCCGTTTGAATTACTTTGCATTGAGTTACAAGCAAGTGACTTGTGATTCACAAGGGTTTGGACTATATAGATCTAGGCTCTACTGCCTGGGTCTGGGCTATGCCACTTTTATCATATTTTCTTCTGGAATATCTATCCTTTGTTCACTACCTTCCACAACAGCGTCATGCTCTCATTTTCACCGCTATATCGTGTGGATCTCGGATTTCCATAGTGATTAAGGGTATGGAAATGAAATCTGTAAGCAAATATATTTCGATATTCTGTACAGCCTTCCCATGTATAGTTTCCCGGTAAGAGAGAACGAACTTAAAATATTTCACGAGCGAGAAGGCAACGACAGCCAAAACTATAAAATTTCCATAATAAAAACCAAGTCTCCACTTTTGCAAAAGTCCGCTCGGGTGACTATATCCATACATCGTCGCAGGGCGTCTTAAATTCAAGATTCTTCGACGGCGCTATTTTTCCATATTTTTCGAAAACAAAAATCATTTTTTTCGGAATTATTTACTTACTAACCCCCTGATATATTATGGTCCTACTACCTTTCCTTGCACTTTAAAAACATTGACTTTTATATTCGTGGGAAAAGTGTTAGAAAGGTTTGACACTTTTGATATTTGATATTACTAACACTTTGACGTTGGATTTCTCCAAGACGACTCAGCAGGTTCCACAACCAGTACTGTCGAGTTATTAACAGCAAAGCTGCATGGAATCGGCATAAAACAAAACAGTTTTCTTTCGAAATTTGACTCGATCGCAATAAAGAAACTATTATCGATACTTAGCAAGAAATGGCTCTGAATATGATATATATATGTTCTTATAACATGCGTTGAGACGTGTGTGGATTGAAAGTCCATGGCCCTTGCCATATAATTAGTATGAGTAACACAAACAATCTAGCCATGTCTGTCTATCCGTTCGCCGTTTTAAATCATAATTTCGACCTTAAGATGCTTTTTGGACACTAGTGACCATGGACGAGTAGCGCGTAAATCGAAATGAGCTCCCAACTATCACCCACAACATGATCAGGTGATCACCAGCAAAGATGAATACACATTATATAGCCCTCAAGTGTTTGATAATCTTCAACTTAGTGACAGAAGCAGGTACGCCAAAGTCAATCAATCCAACAACTTGTATAAAATTTTCGAGAATGTCTTGACCTCCGTTATGGAATATTTATGTTTATTTTAGATGATTAACACTCGGGGCCAGATACGCCACTCAGAAGCTTATGGACGAAAGATACATTTAGCATTATACGCCTACCGTCTAGAGCAGATAACTTTATCAGCACTAAGCGGTTTTTACATGGTGGGAGGAGGGTGTTACGATTCCAGGGCGGACTATGCTACGATAGAAACTGTTTTGTTCGGATTCAATTTGTTTATAAAACAGCTCGTGCTGTGGATTCCAGGTAGTAGAACAATAGTCTAGAATAGGCCTCGCTAGCGACAGACACAGTAATCGGATAGTGGAAGCATCACGAAACTGTTTTGTCCAGCGCGCGATAAAGCCCAGAGGACTTTTTGCCTTATCGCGATCACTTTAATAAAATTTCTCTGTCACTTTCAAAAATCAGTTATCTGTTGAACCTATGAAAACCATTGTGTAAATAATGGTACCATAGCTGCCGACGACGAACAAAAATTTACCGTTAAATCGTACAAAAAAGTTGTTTGAAACATTTACGATACGATTAGCGTATTGAATGAGACGCTTCGCTATGAATTGCAATTAAATGTTGTGGACAATATTATTTATTATTAATAGAAACGGGCCAAGCCAAACGCAGGTTTTTCTTACTAATAAAAATTTTTATTACGTTTGTTGTTAATTTTACGCGTATAGCTTATTGAATTTTCTTTACTGTTTTCCGTTTTTTTAATTTCATTTCATTCGATTTTTATTAATGAATAAATAATAACAATAATAATGAATACATTTTTTTTACAATTTTTTTTAATTTAGTTATTTTTATAATTTAGGCTATTTTCATTTTCAACTAATTAATTTTTTATAAATTTTCATATAATTATTTTTTTATATTTATAAACATTTTTTTTTATTTATTTTATTTCTATTTTTTTTATTTATTTTATTTATCTTTAATTATTTATTTATTTTTTTTAATGGTTTTTGAATCATTTTTTTTTTAATTTCCCTTTTCATAATTTCTTCCAAATTTTTATGTAATTTTTTTTTTGTTTTTATATTATATATTTATGTTATATTTTATATTTTTATATATTTTTTTAATTGATCTAATTATTTATTGATTTTTTCAGTTATGTTTCGCATTTTTTTTAAATTCCCCTTTTCATAAATTTTTATATAATTCTTTTTGTTATATTTTTACTATGTGTTAACGTTATATTTCACGTTTATATATATTATTTATTTTTAATTTAATTATTTCAATTATTTTTTGCTTTATATTTTATTTTTTTTATATATATATATTATATATATGTGCTATATTTATGCTAATTGCTTAGCGATTTATTTATTTTTTTTTTAATTCTTATTAATTTTTTTTTTAAATTTCCCTTTTCATAATTTTATATTGCATTTTGTCTAAGTTGACTTTCGCGCTTTAAGCACAATTTAAGTTAAATAAATTTGAAAAGAGAAAACTTCTTTAAAAAAAAAAAAAAAAAGTTCAACCTACACACGATCAATAAGAAATAGCACCAAAGAAAATAAAAAATTAGCTACCGTTTCCAATTGTTGTTGAATACACTTTTTGAGAGATTTTCTTTATAAAACGCGACCGAATGTTGTTAAGGTTGAAGTTAAACTAAATTTATTAAAACCAAAATATTCAGGTAAAACACTATTTAGTCTCTGTGACTGGTTCATTCGTTGGCTGGCAGTCTAGCTAGGCTGCTTAGTTGATTCGTTAGTTGGTTGTTTGGTTGGTCGTATGAAACGAAAGCCCATCTAAACTATCGGTGTAAATGAGTGTGTGTGCTTTCTTGGCACGGTCGGGCTTATCAAGCCAATGGTGCAACAACAATTGAAGAAGACCAAGTTTCGCATATGCAGAAGCGGATAGTACGAAAAAGAGAAAAAAAGCAACAACAACAACAAGAACAACTACTGTTACCTTACCATCGTTAAAGCTGAACCATAATATACAATGAAGCAAAAATAACAATTTAACATCTCTTGTGCATGTATGAAGGTATGTCAAATCCACACACACACACACATACACACGCACACAATACTCACACATAATTAAATGCGGGTATATTTACCATACAAAATATCTAATAAAGTTAATGATGATAAAGATAATGGCAACATTGTTAGGGATAATGTTTTTGCTAATGTTTATTTAATGTTAACGCGAGGATCAATTTTAGCTTTAAGTTTTACCTTAATTTTTTTAAAATTTTTTCCATAAATTTTCTTTAATTTCCCTTAATTTCTTGTAATTTCCTTTTCTTGTAAATTAAACATTTTCTTCTTTGTTTTTTTTTTTTTTTTCCTACGAACAAAACCTGCTCTACCTTTGAACACACATATGTTACAACATAAAAAAAAAAGAGTGATTTTATTTATGCATTGATTTTGAATTTCTTTTAAGATAATATCAAAAAAAAAAAGCTATATTTTTATGTTCCGCATATAACCGGCTTTCTACATAAATATGACACTGTTGGGCTATTAGATGACTAGACATGAAATCTGGTAAAACCGTCAAAAAAAAAGGAAAAAAATCGTATTAAACTCTATGGCTGGCCATGCATACGATTTAGGTGATAAAATGCGAATGTAACAACATGTAATATAGAGAAGAAAATTGAAAAAAAGTACAAGAAAAAAACTTTCGCTTAACAATATGTGTTGTCATCAACATCATCAAAATGAACACTTAGTGTTTATAAAGCTATGTAATGCGTCCACACAAGGTGTTTTAAATGAGTATTGAACTCTACTTGTTGTAACTTGTCTTTACAAAAACACACATATATATGCATATATATATATATATATATATATATATATATATATGTATGTATATATTTACTGCAATAAATACTTGTTTGTGTACATATACAAGTGATCCGTGTTAAATTAAGTCACGATCAAAGGCCACATTTACTCTTTCTTATCTCGCATTTACTTTATATGTACCTACAGCACTCATACACATCCAGTTATGCACATATGTGGGGAATTTTTTATATATTTATATGTATGTATACATGAATATTACAATAATGTTGTGTCCAGCTCTTTAACTGTAACTACAAACAACTCGAAAAGTGGTCTATGTATGCCTATACATATGTGTGTGTATGTGTGTGTGTATGGTCCCCCATACCCCAACCTGATTACATTGAAAAACATTGAAATTGAAAGTGTTCTCCAATACATTGTAAAATTTTTTGGTTACATCAACTTCTTTTTATACGTATGTACACGTTTGAGTGAGGGCTGTCTGTTTAATGTTTGTTGTTTATCGCATTTCTTCTTTTCTTTGCTTCTTTCTTTCTTATTTCTTTTTTTTTTTTTTTTGGTGTATATGTTACAGCTGCAATTGAAGAAATTAATTTACATAAATTGCAGCATTTGTCAGTAAATTGCGTTAACAAATGTCGAGAGTTTACTTTTCTTGACACTAACTAGAAGATTGAAAGTTATTGATCTTGATTTTGAACGGCGTGAGCAAAGCACTTTTTAATGAAATTCTCTTATGGCGCATTAAAGAAAGATGAATAAAAATATTAAAGTTCGGATTAGAATTGAAATTAGAGGCCGAAATTAGAATTATATCGAAAAAAGCAAAGCTGAGCCTAGAGCTAAAGGCAGTACTTAATTAGGCTGACACTTCGAATCAGAACTAGAAGTAGCATGAGTTAGAATTAGAGTTCGAATTACAATTACACTTTGAGGTTAACTTAGCACTCCATACAAAGGAAATGGCAATTAGCAGTTAGGACTAAATTTAGAGTTAGAATTAGAATTAGACTTATAGTTAACAGTTAAAGTTAGAATTTAGATTTAGATTTAGTTTTAGATTTGGAATTATAGTTAGAGTTAGCCCTACAGCTAGAGTAAGACTACAAATAGTTTGGCTTAAAGTCAGGTTGAGAATTAGAACTAGAAATAGTTCGAGTTAAAATTAGGTTTGGGATTTAAGTTAGAGCGGAACTAGGCAGTAGACATAATGTTACAATTAGGATTTAGGTTTAATTTAGACTTACGGATAGGATTAGAAATCAAGTTGGAATTCTAGTTAGAGCTGGATTTAGAGGTACGCTTAGCATTACACATTTAGTTATAATAAGAACGCGGATTAGGTTTAGAATTAGAGTTAAGATTAGACTTATAGTTTAAGTTAATTATATTTTAGATTCAGGTTTATATTCGGAGTTGTATTTATATTTCCACCTAGACTCAGAGTAATTGGAATTATAAGTGGTTGGACTTACAGTAGGGAAGAGTAGATTTAGAATTAGGTTAGAATTTAGTTAGATTTAGAATTAGGGTCACAGTTAGAGTTAGCGTTAGAGTTACATTTAGAATTAGAATGCAAATTAGAGCGAGAATTACGTTTAGAGCTTGAGTTAGATTTAGAATTAGAGTTAGAATTAGAGTGTGAGAGAATCGGAGTCAACGTGAGAAGGGGAAGTATAGTTAGAGCCAGAATTAGAATAAGAATTAAACCTAGAAGGAGAAGTAGAATTGCGCTTTGAGTTTGATTTATGATTGAGCTTGAAATGTAATAATTTTGCTGTCATCCTACCTAATGATCGTCTGATTTAGAGCGAGAACCATGGCTCAGTTTAGACCAGTTGAAAATAGTTTTACTTACCTACTTAAGTTATTACGTAGAGTTGTAAAGTTTCGCAGTGCATAATATTAACTCCAAATCCTTTTGGGAATGAGGCACTTACGGGAAATAGGTTTTCATTCTATTCTTTGTTAGCAATCGTTACTAAGAGTTCAATGCCCTCGAAAACGTTGTGAGATATTTTGTTGCCACATGTATGTGAAACATACTCGTCTCAGAAATTGTTCGTCACTAATGCACAGCAACGGTTATGACTGCAGACTGTTATCATTCATTGAGAAGATATGTTTGAACTTCAGAAATAGTTTCTTAGCAATTCATGTAAGATATCTTGCTACTAACATGAGAAGTGGGAAAGAGGTTTCTTTATTGATTCCACGGTTACGTTTTCATTTCAACAGAGAGAAGAGGAACCATCTTATACCATGATCCTTCCAACACAGGTTATATGTGTGATATTGTCGTTGAAGAACCACTTGAAATTTTTGTACACAAAATCATACGAATTTTTTTAAAAACATTTAAAAATTTTTTTTTTAATTTTAATCAATTTTCACAAACGTTTTATTGTGCTATTCTTTTTTTTTCTATTAAAAATTAAAAAAGTTTACCTTTAAAAACTTATTGATTTATTTGCATTTATTTTCGCTTGTTTTTTAATCGAAACCTTATCATATTTTCTTTTATTTTATTTTAATCTTTTAGTTCCCACTTGAATAGCGTTAAACACTTTTTCAGCAATAAAAATAAAAAAACTTATTATTAATCCGCCAATTAAAATAATCCAAATCCAATATAAATCTTCTATTTTTAATGGTTCGTGAATCAACTTCTCGCTCGTATCGATCAAAGGGATCTTATGCTGGCGTACCATGTCGTGAAATGTTTGCAATGACCATGCCTCCAATAAGCCCACCGCATTTATGGACAAGATGAGATTATCTAGAGGTTCCTTGTATGGCGAATTCTCTTGCAGCGGTAAAGCCATTAACATAAAATCTAAAAAGTTCAACGTCACCGGTTGACAAAACACACTACGCAAGAAGTACTTCTGTTGCATTTGCAAAGCATTCCAAATACCCTGAGTAACCGTGTAACCGTATGAGATGTTCAACATTTTGCGATTGCGTTGATATGCGCCCGTATCGTTCGTAAAAATCATACATCCTTCAAGTTTTTTTTCAAGTTCCGGCGAAAGTATTGCATTTAAAGTATCTTTATCGCCGACATCGAAAAGCAATTTCGTTTTGGAATTTCTTAAGTCATCGAAAGTTTTTATATGCGATTGATAAGTGGGTGTTGTTATTAGCGTCTTCAAATGGGCTGAATACAAGGCGCTATTGATAAGACCTATTAAGAAAACTACGCCATATAACAACTGCAATGATATTTGTGTCGTGTAAGACAAAGCGAAACTCTGTCCTAGTACACCACGCAGTATTTTGTCATTCAGAAATATGTCTATCCAAAGAAGTCGGCTTTTGATAACATATTGAAAAATTGTCTGAATAATTGACAAGAGCATCGTCAGGGTCGCCAAGGTTAAATACAAATCCCACGTTAGCACTAAACCAAAAACATCGGCTATATGCACCAACTGCGAACAGGGCACCATAATACCCCAATTCGTCAATTCGAAAGGATATGATAAGCCTTGCCACTTAGCATCTCTGAAAGTGAAATCCATACTCATGCCAACATCTAAAATGCCGTGGTGCGTGTAATTTTCAACTTTTAGCGAATGTATAACCTCACCAGCATTCACTTCAAACGGGAACTTCAGCGTAGCGTTATACATCTCGGCAAATAGCAGGAGAAGTTTTCCCAAGTAACCGCTGATTACTTGATGACCACTCCTATCCGCAAATACCATGGTGCGTGGTTCAATTTGATCCGGTAACGTATATAGAGGTTTGCCTTGCATATTACGCCAATGGGAAGCGTAAAACATATTCTTCCCATTTTTGTTGAAATTGAATGAATGCGTCGACCATTTGAACCACGGAAAAGGCGTCAACTGATAATAGATAAGATTGCTTTCCACATTCGTTTCGATGAAATTCACCAATAAATTTATAATTTTATTAAGTTCACAAAAATCAAGCAATGATTTCTGAAATTTCTTCTGTTCTTTTACAAAGAAAGCCAAAACTAAAACGCGTATTGGACGTATGTAACGTATGCTCGCAGCTAAGTTCAAAAATAATTTCTCATCATATTCGTGCAGAACGAGAACAACAGCGAATATTTCGCTATTAATTTCCGATTTTATATAAACTTGTTGATGTTTTTGTAAAATTATTTTCGGTTTTTCAAGTTTCACTAGAAAATCAATACGCGAATCATACGGGAATCTTTCGAAATTTTGCATCATAAATAATGTTTGAAATTCACGTTCTTCCCGGACACTCGCTATGAAATCTTTAAAATATTGAATATTTTCTTTAAACTGTAGAATAAGGTTTTCATTGAAAGCCGTCACTTCAAATAAAACTAAATAAAAAACAACCGTTAAATGCAAAAGCTTATAACGCCTACAGTAGAACATTTTGTATAAATTTACAGAACATGCAATCATAAGCTTTCTCATACACTGGCGAATAATGCTTAAGGACTTTGACTATAATTATCTTGACTTTTATTTACTTTCGACCGTTTTATCTAAATTGTAATCTTTGTTCAAACCTGTGTATGTTGATGTGTTTGTCATTGCATTCAATATTTGTATAAGTGATGAAGTGAAGTTGATGTAAAAGAGAGAGTGTCTTAAAAGAGAGTTGGAAAGTGTGGGCGAGTTGCATTGAACCATATCTACCTACTATAGTAAGGTGACCGAAAGTACGAGGCCACTGTTACAGGTTAAAGTAAAAACACATTTTTTTGTAGGATGGAAGGAAAGTTAGTGAGAAAAAGTATTCCGGAAGGTTATTAAGCATTTATATACTTATTTGTAAAAAATAATTGTTATAATATAACAAAAAATTAGAAAAAAAATAGCAGCCTTAAATTTAACAGGCTTCATAGTCTATGGTGTAGGTGGTGTAGGTGGTTCACTCAATAAGTCTCCGGTCTGACATATATATAGCGTATAAATGGTTGGCATATCCATACGATTCCTGGTTAGAATCAACCTCTAAACGATATGCGTCCCAATTTTATGACATTCTAACAATTACTTTACACGTTACAGTTATTTTAGCCACACCAGTTTTTTTGGTTACTTTGCAGAGCTCTCGTTAGTTACCGTCCATTCAGCTGATTACCGATTTGGATCTGAACCGGTTTTTCAAACCATTTCCCATACCGGATGAAAAAAGCTCTTCATTTCGTTTAAATATCGCCCTGAGTCATCAAGATATTGTTGTCTAAAGTAAGCGAAAGGGCAAACCACTTTGAATAGAGCTTTCTCAGGGACTGATGTCGATACAAAATAGATGATACACCGCCTTCTGATACCTTTAAAGTGTCAGCTACCTTATGCAACTTCAATTTTCAGTGTTCGCAAAACCCTTTCGTGCATTTTTTTATATTTTCTAAAACAAATGTCGATTTTGGGCTACCAGAGGATTCAACACAATCGGTGTCTATACGACTGTGTTTGAAATTTGCAAGCCACCCACAAATTTATCATTTCGATATACAAGAGTCGCCATAACGACATTCACACCAATGTTATTGCTGGTGGGGGGCAACTTTTCTTAACAACGAAATTCAGATTTTTCCGTTGCTTTAAAAATTAGAAAAGTCGCACCATTTACATAAGTGTAATTTGTAAGCTTTTTGTCAGAATATCACGAAATTTTGGCACATCTCGCTTGAACTTTGATGCGATCCAGAAACCATACGCTTCAGACAAGAGCGCTATTGAGATTTTGTTAGCTGTGACTATGAGGCGTCGGAAGTTTTAGAAATATCCAGTTTTTTCTGATTGGCGAAGTTTTGAGGGATAATATTCACTTTTCAATCAAAAAACGAAATATTTTGTTAATAACAAATCGTTTAGCGTTTACATTAAATTGAATAGAAGTTGCAGCAATTTTGTCGCGGGCAAAACATTCTTGAGATAAGCTCTGGAATCGAATCACTCTCGTTTCCATATCCGCTCAAGGATCGGCCATATATTTTTGTTTGAAAATACTTTTAAACGTGCACAAACACTAACTGTATTAGAAAGGTTCCAACGCATCAGATGATACTGTAAGTCTATAAGTTGTCAGCATAGGAAAGATTTGCAGGAAAAAATCGATTTCAGATAATCAAGTTTTTTGCATGCGTTCTATTGGATATTTTGGACCTTCTATTAGGTCGTCGAGAATGAAATTATATAAGATCGTATTTAATCTATCACCTAAAAATTTCATCCTTGACGACCTAATAGTAATTTTAAATTTCCTATGAGGCAAAAACAATTTTTTTTATTAAATTGGAATACGTTAACCCTTAAGTATGGTAAGTTTTGCAGTTGCATCGTTCGTTGTTGATAGCTTTTCGTAGTTCGAGGAATGATCAATCTAACTATCCGGGACAAAAAAAATCTTCTCCCCACTTCTGTTTTTTACAATCACGAAATTCGATCAGGCTTAGTGTTACGCAAAGCTTAAGCATGATAAGGTTCGGCGCGACAGATTTGAATATTTTACAATATTCGTAGGCTCCCCCTTTTTCTCTTGGAAATCGGCAGAAACTTTTATTGACGCATTAGAACGATTACAAGTATTTTCTTGTTGGTGAAATATAATTTACCAAAACCAAAAACCATAACCAACCTACATCATCCTTCATTTCTGCTTGGTTTTCTACAAAGAAAACAAACACAAGTTACCTTCAGTTCAGAGATGTGGGCATAAGCAAATTTGTACTTTACCTGAAATCCATTTCCAAGATTTCTTCGAACAGTATAAAGCAACATTTCTGAATGGCCTAACCAACTGGCGTAAACGTTGTTCATGGTCGTACAATAAGTCTAAGAATGATATGGGTAGAAGCGACATCAAGGGTCGCTCTACGACCACTCGTAATATATTCGATTAAGAGAATTTGGCTGTGTGTTTTTGCCATATGTCAACCATTACAGAGACAGAACGTCGACGGGTTAATTCCCACGGGACTCTTACTATCATTGTTTTCCTAAGAAATAAGCAAAAGCATAAATGGCATCATCAAAAAATGCTACAACATTTTTCTAAAAGCGTCGACATGGTCACCTTGATTGTGAACTCCGTTCACAAGACATTGTTGTGTAATAATGTTCTAGTTTCTTTCAACATGGCAAATCCATTACCGTACACTTCAACAGCCTTGGCAAGTTATTCTAATTGCTTTTAGAAATTTTAAAGAAAGTTTAACAACGAAACTCTGACGAGGTGAGGACCAATTAATAATCACCTCGATACAGCGGGAAATTGAATTTTAATTCGTATACATACTTTAGCGCAATTAAGAAAAGAGATGTAATCGGAAAAGACATATCGCCCAATAAGACAAAAACGTTATTTATGACCTGATATTAAAGATTATATGCCATGCTAAGGAATCGAAAAATACCGCAGCTTATCCCACGGATGACAAAGAAAAGCGAAATTATTAAGAGACAAATTTTTCGTATTTCCATATCAAATACCGAGAACTCTTTTCATTAAGGATACTTACAAACTCAAAAGCGAACTTGGGAAACTAAACAAAAAAACAAAACATTGTAATGAATACTGGTTCTTAACTGTATTTAAATTAGTATGAGTCAGCAATTTTTTATTAATGTATTTTCAAGTTAAAACGGTTTCACCCTCCTGCCCACACCAATATACAATCGAACTCTTGCCCATGACCCTGGTGTAGGTTCACGCCATTTATAAGAAATCATTCCCTGAAATATTTAAAGATTTGATCTTCGAACTCGAATAAAAGTCACGACAAATAAATTCAAAATCGTCGCCATTCATCATATAACACAAAAAAAACATCACTTGAGCCAGAATTTAAAAAAACGCTCTGCATGATAGAAACTATATCAAAGCAAACAAGTTAGAAAGTGTCTGGCGAAACTTGGAAAAGATCACGTGATAACACGCAAACACATATATATATAATATATATACATATATATCTATATATATATCTACAATCAAGCTAACGGCCAACTTTATTAAAGTCGAAGAAGTAAAGAATACCGTGTTTATGTAGAACCCTTTTTGATCAGCTCAGTAAATCATCTGTTTTTGATTTGTTGACTCGCAGAAGAAGAAGAGAAAGTGTTTGGTATTATGTATATATACATATGTAAATATATATATGTATATATTTTTTTTTTTTTTTTGGAATTTCGTGTCCATGTAGAACCCTTTTTATCCAATTCAGTAAAGCATTTGTTTTTGATTTGTTGACTCGCAGAAGAAGACGAAAACGAATTTGGAATTTTTACTTTAATGTGTAAAACTTATATAAAGGTGTATGTTGCCATATTAGCAATTCTCCCTTCACACTTTTTAAGTGTATTTGTGTGAAAAAAAGAGAGAAGAAAACCACATAAACTATGTGGATGGATGGATGTTCTATATGCAAATATCTGAATGAATCTATATGAAAATATAGTTTAATCAAAATTGACTGATTTCCGAAAAGCCTATCAAAAATTCAAATTAAATCACTCTTTGTACCGACAACGTTAAAAGATAATTTCCTAAAGAGGTGTCATCTGTAAACAATTACAAATTATTAACATCTCCCGCTCACATTTATCATGGGTAAAAGATTGCGTTTACTAAAATTGCAACGTGAGGATTGCTTTGTTCGATTGCATAACAACAATTTGCGCAGCATCATACAAAAAAACAATTTATATTCAGTGAAGTTAACTATCACTTGCATATATTCCCCGCTGACGATTGTGGTAATAATAGTGAAGACGATGAATATTATAATCTTATAGTAAATGAAAAAGTTTTTCAATTAATGCCATGAACTTTGTTAAAATTTTCATTTGAATTTAAAAAAATATTTCTTAGGTCCACTGATCATAGCTAAGAGAGATAGGTATTGTTTTTCGAAAATGAATCCGCTACAAATATGAAATATTACGTTCGCCACGGTACTGGCAGGAGGCTTAACAAATTTTTGATTGTTCGTGATAGTTATAATATATCTTTTTGAAAAACGCAAACAAAACAGTAAAGACACTAAAAGTCAAAGTAAAAGTAAATCAAGTTAATCCGAATACTTGCTATCCATTATTAGGTCGAAGACTATTGAAAATTTCCAATTAATTATACATTTTACAAAAAGGACATGATTTATATATAAGTACATAGACGTCGCAATCATCAAAGAATGATAGTTGAAGACGTATTGATCGATCACTCGGGCTATATGCATTCATTTCTTTCATTTACTAATTTCATTCATTCATTCATTCATTCATCTGGTTCGTTAATCCATATCATTCATGGGTTCATTCAACCTTTTCATTCATGTATTCATTTTGTTGATTCACTCATTTATTCTTCAACTGCACTTCACGATTTGTTTCAGTCGTTGATTGACATAACTTAATAA